GCGGGCGGGTGAAAAAGGGACCAGGCTGTTGTTGGCTCAACTCGCCTCGCGGAGCGCGTCCCAGTGGGGGCTCCCTCCCACCCACTACCAGCTAGCCAGCCAGCCCCGGTTTGTTTTCCGTGCCAGAGCTTAAATTGGAGGGTGACCTAGGGTCACCTCCTTTGCCTGGACCCAGTGGAAGCTGGGGGAGAGGAGGATGTGTGGCCCACGCTGACCTGATTCACCTTTGGGTGAAGTCTTCCGTTCAAAGAGATGCTGCTGCTGTTGCTGCCGGTACGGCCTCCTCTGGTACTGCTGGAGCGCCTAAGAGGGCAGAGACTTGGCTTTGTCTAGTTCCCTCCCAGCACCTGGAGGCCAGCAACGTAAGTGGCTCAGAGGCTTACAGGTCTGAAAGGGCCCTGTGGAAGCCAGGGAGCCGAACCCTACTGTAAGCCAGGACCCGTCATCATTTGTGATAGAGAAGATGGCTATAGTTAAAAAGCTTTTTCCTCTCCTAAAGAGATTTATCCCATCACAAGTATTCTAGTGTTTTTCTGTCACCATCACGACTACTCTAAGTGCTCCTACATCACATATTTTAACACTTAAACTTATTTTCTTCTTAGATTTCAGCAGTGGTAAAGATAAATTAGTCATTCTATCCTGTAATAAATCTTTGTGTATATACAGTTCATACATTTGCCAAATCTGTGATTCCATTCTTGGAAACATTTTTGAAATTCATCTGTTTGGATGACTGGCAACACTTCCCTCATTGTGTGTGTTTGTGTGTGTGTCTTCACCTCTTCTATGTCGTCAAATTGCTGTCCTTTCATGTCCCTCTTCATCCATGGAAATAAAAAGTCGAACAAAACGAGGTCAGGTGAGTCAGGTGCATGGGGCAAGAGCGGCAAGCTGGATTTTTTTGTCAGAAATGGCCACATGGAGATGGCTGTGTGAGCAGGTGCATTGTTGTCCTGCCAAAACCAGTCTCCCATTTGCCACCAATCAGGACCTTTTTTTGTCACATACTGTTAGGCAATCTTTTCAGAACCTCTAAATAAAAAGCTTGATTAACAGTCTGACCTGGTGGATTGAACTCCAAAGGCACTATGAGTTGATGTTGTCATCCTATCAGGAAGTTGACAGACGTCCAGAATAAGGTTTGTCATCCAGTGACATTTCACCTTTTTTGAAACAAGAGAGCCACTGGAATACTTGAGCTTTTCCCATAGTGCTGTCCTTGTAAATGCATAGTATAAAAACTCCCCCTTACAGAGCTTTGTTCCAGTTTCTTTTGGGGTACCTCCTTGTAAAGCAGTAATTAAACCAGATTTCATTTCAGGCTAAATAATTCTAGATTCTTTAATCTTAGAGAATCAAAATCTCATCTTTTTTTTTTTAATTCTGTCTGATTTTTCTCCAGCACTTCCTAAACACTTCCAATTGTGTATTATGGTCCACTAGTTCTTTTTTTTAAATCATTTTATTGGGGGCTCATACAATTCTTATCGCAATCCATACATACATCCATTGTGTCAAGCACATATGCACATTTGTGCCATCATCATTCTCAAAACATTTGCCTTC